TGCGCTCAGATACCTTGCTTGACCGGCCGCCGCCACGGCATCAATCCTCCAGGACGCCCCGGAAAATAGATGACATATTTGACGCTTTTGCACAAGCTCGATCGATTGTTGTAGTTTCGAGGCGCTAACCGCCAAGGTTACATTAATTTCCCGTTGGCGCGCAATGACAACACATGCTTGGTAAGGTGGCCGTATTGTCTTGCAGAGATTTTGCAGGGCGTAGTCGACGATATGTAACATTGTTCGCTCACTTGAACTCCAGCAGAGGCATTTTCCTGCTGGTGCATGTGCAGTACAGGACTTGCGGATCAGCATTACGGTCTCCGGATTCATACTTAGCATCATGTCGAGCCGCCTGGCGGCCGGGCGTCGCGTCACACAGAGCCGGCAGCGGCCCGTGGGGCCGTGAAAGTGGGTACCTGTGGGGCGGAGCCGGGACGTGGAAGGTGGACACGTGAACATGTGGCGGCAGGGCTGGGCGCGCGCTCCATCTTCAATGGAGCTGCGCATGTCCTGAATCTGGGGCATGCTCCTGGTGTCGCTGTGAAACATTGACGTGTCCGCTTGGCAGAGAAGAGCCGAAATTTGCTGCTTTTCCAAACGTCATTGTATCACCGACCAGTTTTTGCTATTTGCGTTTTTATTCTGTATAGTTATCATACCTGAAAATACCCCTGCATTCTTGTCACTCCGCCACTAAATTACGCTGCCCAGGGCACCTCGGCTGTCACCCACGGTCCTTGTCACTTGTAGAGTGCGCAGGGGTTTTATTTCTAATGCAAAATTGACCATCTAAATCTATGTTTGCGCACAGTGCAAAAGTTTATTTAAACAAAACAATTGTATTAAGCGATTGAGAACTTCTTCTGGCACGGCCAGGCTAACTAGAACATATAAAACCGTAAACCCTCCGCATGAAATAGCTTTATAGGGTTTCTCTAACTTTTGCAAGAAAGCAGACAGTATAACGGCCTTATAAAAGTACGCGCCGCGTGCCCGAATAAACAGGAACGCAACAGCATACACGTTCTCTGCTACATCCCTGTCGTCAGACGCAGCATCCTTTTTTCTTTCTTGTCGTTGTTTCTGTGCCAAGGAAACCAAAACACCTGGGATATAGGGATCCTCTGCTTCTACTGCCGGCTTAAGACGCTGCAGCTTCTTAATCCGGAGTCTAGCTACTAGTCTGTTTGGGATTTAGACTTTTCTCTGTTTTAGATATAGGGGATTTCTTTGCTAGATATATTTATTTTAAAGCGCTTATACAGTCCCCAAGTTAATACACGCTAACTATCCTAATTTAGATTTAGCTTTAAAGATACTCTGTTAAAATACATACAGCTTCTTTTCCGCCGTAATAAAGGTCCAGGCGATTAGTCCTGTTTCTATGACATTGAGTTAGTTACAAATGTAAGACACAGATGCTGCTCATTGCATTTTTCGGACGACCGACTGACCTCTCAAGCCCCTCAAGTTTGTAGTGCTTCAAAATTCCACCTATAGCGATCTGTTGCACCTCTACACTCACATCTGAGTTGCCTTGCTACGCGTAGGACTTCGTGCTTAATCGGCACGCCCTCAACTCTAAGACTGTGCTAACAGGCATTAAGGCAAGGGTTGAGATTGAATTGTACATTTAATACTATTAGGTGTCTGCAAGTCTAAGCAATAGGCTGAACATAGTCAAGTATACTTAAGAGCTTATACTGCCTATAATATATACCTAACTAAGTATTCTATACTTTACATACTACACAAGCGTGCAATACATACAGTTCCAACAGACTATTGACCTCTCGCATCAATTGATCTCACATAACTATACTTGACAGGGTAGGTAGTTGGGTGCCATCACTCGCCGCCACAGCTATTTCCTCTTTCGGCCTGGGTTAACGAGAATTGGTCGAGGTATTGACGTGCTTGGGACGCTAACATGTATTTAGAGTTGGCCTGTCAGACGGGGACGATAATATTACGGATAAGGATAGCGGCAAGGAGAGGGCTGATGGTGAGAGTCAAGACGCACAAGATGAATATTCGCTTTCAGACTGTTCTGCAATAGAGACAGGAACGACCACTAGTTCAACGGACTATCTCGTAGCTAGCAAAGAGGCATAAAAAGATTACGATATATAACTAAGCATAAACTAATATCGAACGTTCTGTCCACCCTCTCGGAAACTCAATCTCCCTCTTCAGATTATTAAGACACGAGCTTGGCGGGATAAACTTGGGCCATTTTACCACTCTCCTGACATCCGGAACGTGTCGTCCCCTTGGGAGACGGGCGGTGACGTCGAACCTACCTTGAAAAAATATAATGGTATTATAGCGCCCCGGTCGCCGAGATTCTTGGATGGGGCGTTAAAGCCTTATGAATTCGACTTCGTAGAGGAGGAACGGTCGATGGAGATGAACGAAAAGTTTCTGCAAAAACTATCGCACTTCCTTTTGCATACTAAGTTAGATCAAGTTCTTGGTCTCAGGCTACTAGATTCGCGCGACACAAGCGTATCTGTTGAGGTTACGGAACGCAACTCAAACATCATGTTACCTCTAGGGGCGGTTGATGAGAAAAATGTCATTCCTGCGCTGTGGATTTTTGGCACCGACGACGATGACCGCTGCAATTGTAGGGAATACTGCGATACGGATAGAAGTGGCAAACACTCTGGCCAAGGCAACCACGGGTGCGGTTGAGATGCGAGCCAAGAACGGACCTCTTGGAAAGATTACTTGGGGTTATTGTGGCTTTGTTATGCTCTGTTTTGTCTTGTCTTGTTTTCTTAGCATTGACAAAGTAGACCCTTGGTGCTGGTTTTCCCACAGGGTTTTCCCAACATTATTATGCAAATGCAGAGGGTTTCACAAGGCATCTAACTTATCTACTCGTTCAAATGCTCTATGCTTGAACTTCTTTCGTCCTGCGCTGCCAAATCCGCAATTGAAAATGTGGAATGGGACCTGATTTGTCTTGCAAGCCCCAGCCCCACCTGTTCATCCATGCTTAACTTAGGAGACGGTCCAACTTGAACTGCCAACGCTCTTTTCTCCTTCCAATTTTTTTTTTCGTCACGCTGTAGCCGCTGCATCGATCTCTATTAAAATGCAAGCAACTATCGCCGACATTAGCGTGTCTGATGCGGAGCGCATTGTTCGAAAAGTTGATTATCCAGCCATGCAGGATGGCCCATTATTCCGCTTGATGTTTCCTTCTCGGGCAACGACGACAGAAGCTCAGAAGAATGAAATAATTCAATGGTATGCTGAGGGGTTGGAGGATGCCTTGAGACGCAAGAGGAATAAGCTTCTTCAAATCTGCGCATTAGATGGAACACCACTGGGCTTCTGCGGATGGACAGTGGAACACCGAGGGCAGAGCCGGCAAGTCCCCATGAACTCAAGTCTGTCACAACATGGTACAAAGCTGCCCTCTCTCCCGGAAGCGCTAGATTTGTCTGCATGGCTCAGCGTGTCAAGTGATTTGAGAAGCGAGCGGGAACGGATCCTGAGCGGGTGGGACGACGTTTGCCGTAAGTTGACATGCATCCGTCGTCTACTACCACCACATACCAATCCGTCGTCGACTCATCTGTATTCCAATTAGGGTTGACCTTTATGTCAGTGCATCCCGATCATCAGCGCCATGGCCTTGGCTCTACATTATTGAAGCGAGTCTGCGACGACATAGACGAACTGGGATGGCCTGCTTTCGTCATGTCTTCGCCAGCCGGTGTTCGGTTGTACACAAAGTTTGGTTTCGATGTTGTTAGCAGGATAGAAACGTGTCAAGGGACATTGACAAGCATGTTTCGACGGCCTCGAATCCTCTGCGGACACACTTTGATGACAGAGGAGATGGGATCATCCCCACATCCTCGAGGCTCGAGCGAGTCTACCAAGGTTTAGCCAAGCAAGGCCTACGCAGTGTGGCATGAGCAAATTTTTAAATTTGGCACTGCTGACACAATTTCATGCACACATGCAGGGGCGAGTCACCTTCAATTTAGTCGAGTGGTAAAGAAGTCGGCAGCTCCGACACAAGATACGTATCCGAGCAGCATTCGCACCAAGGAGGTTTCTCTATGAGGGCTAATGCAAAGAGCATGTTAGACGGCCCTGTTGCCAAATCACGTCGTCCATGTGTAGCAACCCATAGTGCTAGGCAACGTGTCCTGGAACAGGTGATCAGCATTAGGCGTAGCATTAGTTCCGGTACGTGAGCTTCCGATGCCCTGTCGAATATTGTTTCAAAAGACCCAGCGATGGACAGCAGCGTGATCTTTTCTTTCGCAGTCACAGACTCGTCAGAGACTGTTGTGGAAGCTTGAGTCTACCAAGGTAATCTTGTCTGGCCACAGGCTTGGACTCATGGATCTAGTTGCCATTTGGGTTGAGGCGGAGACGACCAAGGTAAGACTTGATACGCCATTCAATTGAACAAACTATAGAGCTATTTGAGAAATAGTGCAGAGAAGCGAACGGGACCTGTCTGGAAAGACCTGTGGAGGACTTGACCTATTTTGACTACTTTGCATACTAAGGCTAGCTCTGGTGCTAATTTTGGGCGTTGTAGAGCTTTTTTGTGTTGAATGCCCTCCTTTACAAGGAACCACGTCAATGTATGAATAGAGCATGTAAGGCCGGCTTGCTGTAAAATTTCCTTGTTCTTGATAAAAGGGTCACCACGTCAATGTATGAATAGAGCATGTAAGGCCGGCTTGCTGTAAAATTTCTTTTATTCTTGATAAAAGGGTCACTACGGATTAATTGGAAAATACGCCTTTTGTCGCGAGTAGATTCTTAAAATACACAACGTTCTCTCCTCGCCTAGTTGAGATTCAAAGAAGGTTTGCTTTGTCGACCACCAGGGACCAGAATCGAGCAAGATCCTTGGCAGGGACGGTACAATACAACTGATACGAGGAGCGCCCCTCCGGTACATGCTCAGTTCCAAAGTTTGCAAATGAAACTACACTAGAGTTCGATTTCTCTGTATCTTAGACTGATGCGACTGCTGAAGACTTGTTGGGGAAGCTCCATTCGCCCTTGAGAGCACTGATAAGGCAGTGTAGCAGCGTCCCGAGTCGTATCCTTTGCGTGAACTTGGCCATATAAAAACGAACCTTCGGAGGGTTGTTGCGCAGTGCCACGGTTGGCCATTTGAGCCCATCAAGTAGCTCGCCAGATATGTCCACACTAAAGAGACGAAGACAAGATTTGTCGTACGCAAGAATGTAGACCTGAGAACGCCGGTTAGCTACAGGCTAACCCGAGAAGCCATCTCACAAATCTAGGGCCCTCCGGTTACATACCGGAATAAGCGCACTTTGGGCAGAATAAAGCTGTGGGAGGTCGCGTCGAATTCTCTGCGCACAAGAAATCGAGCTGGCAACAATATAACCCTTACGATCGCGATACCGGCTGATCCTATCAATGCTGAGCCAGACCACAGTACGCTTCGCTTGGGAGATGCCATCAGTAAGTATGCGCAGGGACTCCTGTTTCCAGGGGAAATAAAGGTACGTCGCAGACCTAGAAGCTGTCAGACAAACATTCGGACCAGAGGTCTGAGACGAGATAATGGATGAAGGAGCGGTACATACTCCTCAGAATGGATCGCATGTTGCTCCAACAGACCATGTAGTATTGCCAGCTTAATGTTTATTAAATAAAAGAATGGTGATTTGAGGATGCGGACGGCACCATCGACGTCCGCATTTGAACTGGGTAAGTCAGGTTCTAGCAATTCCATCTGCAAAAACTGGAAGCCGAGGATCGAGATATCTCTGATGTTCTTTGCAGAGAAATGACGGACCTCGCGAGCCTTCTTCGCAAGCGGGTTGTGTTTGCGTTTGCGTGACGTTGTTGTCCCTGGGTTTCCATCGCGGGTTGGGAACGGAGAGGGCGTTAGAGCCGTAGGCACGGACTGCGTGGCTGGCATCGCAAATACTGTCCGGCGGGCATTACTATTCGAACAATCGCATAATTAATTTTGCTGCTAGGCAATGGAAGAGTGATGCGCGTAACGGCTGTTTGGTCAACGTTGACCATCGCCAACCACAAGTCCTTCTCGATCACGTGTCAGGTCTCCACTTGCACAGAGCTCGCCAAAAGTACGCAATGGTCAGAACACCAGAGACAGGACTTGCCGACGCCCACGCAGACACGCACCGTCAACGCCGTGCCTGGTCCCGTTGTGTTGTGCCATCCTCGAGCCAAGGCCACGGTTGTAGCAGTCACCGTCACGGACGAGCCAGGCGAACAAGGCACATTCATTTATCAGCCTTTCTTCACGACAGTGCTCAGTCCCCTTCTCCCGCAGACCGAGCCAAATCGGCCGGACCAAGAATTGAAATAAAAAACCAATCAACGGTCCCCAGCAACCACATCTCACCATAGGTGCAGCCGTGCAATCTTGATTCCAACCTGCATCATCGTTCTCTCCTCCTAAGTATCAATGCCACCACCCCCTATTCATCACTCCCTCCCACGACCCGCCCCCTCTCCCATCAGGGACGCATCATAATGTACATTCATTTTTACACCTTTTTAGGTCCCCCTCGTCTCTCCATTCTCCTTCCCCACGTACAACGTGCCGGTCCCCTTTTTCTTTTATTAAGCTTGGTGTGTTTTTTGGTGGCAGATGGGTTTTGTGGGATGTTCCGTGTTTTTCACTTTCTTGCCCCTTCCGGTACTCGCGCCTTTTGTGTATGCTCTAAAAAATGCTGAGCTTGTCTCCAACGAGGAAACAACGGTGAATCAAAAGAACCACGACGAATGTGAATGGAAAACAAATAACAAGGTAGAAATAGGAAAATGACCTGGAGAACAGCCTGCGTCTCGTATGCATTAATCAGTTGGGGAATCAGTCGTTAGAAGGTGAATTCGGGGAACTGGTAGATTGATTAGTCAATCCTGTTGATCATGAGATGACGCGAGCGGTGCTTACTACTGATTGCCCGAATTGCCCGGACCAGGCGTCCGGGGAGAGAAAGCAGGCGACGTTGGCGAGTAGCTGGGGCTCGTCGGGCTCTGCTGGTTCCCAGGGCTTCTCTGGAAGCTTGGACTCGTAGGCGAGTAGGCCTCGGGGGACGTGGGAGACCAAGATGGAGAAGCTGGCGAGTAGGAAGGAGAAGTCGCACCAGCAGCGCCGTGGAGGTTGGGCGACGCAGGGCTGTAGTTGGGACTGGCAGGGGAGTAGCTGGGAGACGTGGGCGAGTTGAACTGCGCAGGCGACGTAGGCGAGTAGTGCCGGGGAGAGGTCGGCGACGTCGGCGAGTAACTTGGCGACGTCGGGCTGTAGTTTGGACTGGCAGGGCTGGTTGGGCGGAGCATCGGGGACGTGGGCGAGAAGGAAGGCGACGACGGACTGAAGGAAGGAGACGTGGCATAGCGCCCAGCACCGGCGTCCAAGAGCGGCGACGTGGGAGAATAGCCAGCGTTGGGCGACGAGGGAGAGTAGCCAACCATGCCCGAGCTGAAGGGTGAAGTGGGCGACGTGCTGAACGGGCTCGTCGCTCCCCGCGAGTAGGGACTCATGGATCCTACGTTGCCGAAGCCGCCGCCGCCGTACTCGGTTCCGAACCCGGCGGGCGTCTCGGATCCGGCACCCTGGATGGGAGAAAAGTTTCCCGCGGCCGGAGAGTTCATGCTCATGTAGCCAGAGTCGTTGGACATGGGCGAGCCCGTGTCGTAGGGCGTAGCGGCACCCTCGGCCTCGCCATCCTTGACGGGCATGCCTGGCATGAGACCCATGCGAGAATTGTCCGAGATGACTGTTTCCAGCATCTTGGGATCGAGCAGGACATCAAAGTTTCCTGTTCCCATGGGTGCGAGCTGGCCGAGCATGACGTTTTCAGAAATGCCGCGGCAGTCGTCGAGCTCGCCAGTGGCGGCAGCTTCGAGGAGAATCTCCACCGTCTCCTCGAATGAACAACGCATCAGAGCACCCGTGTCAGCCCGATTGATGCCGTGTCGGGTGACGGCCGAGATGCTGCCTCTATACGTCATGACATCGACCAGCAGCGCAATGTGCCGGTGATTGACGTACGAGCCGTCAAAGGCCAAGACGTTTGTCAATTCCTTGACCAACGCAGAACGTGCGGCTTCGATACCAAAGACTTCAACAATCTGCCACAAGTCGTTTGTGTATGTCCGCGACGCGTCGACACCGTCGACGGCGAGGACATCTCGAAGAGCAGAGCCCGAAGTATCCAAGTACCACTGGGTGCACCGGGCATCGTCCTTGATGGCAAGCTCGGATCCATCCTCGCCCACGATCAAGCGGGTGCCCTTGGTCAAGAACGCCCTCTCGATGCCTGGCACGCCACGCAAAGTCAATGTGTCCAGGAGATGGGCTTCCAGACGCTTCAGCATGACGTCGTCCTCAATCTTCTTTTCCCCGTCCTCGTCTTTTTCGTCCGACTGTCGAACTGTTCGAATACGGATGACTTGCTCGTCTGCATTGTTGTCGCTGAAAATGACAGCCAGATCGTTGGGGTATTCCTCTTTGATGCGCTGGGCCACGTCATCAATCCTGATTTCCTTATCGAGGAGCTTCTGTCGATCCAGAGTGATGCGCAAAAGCCACCTTGATTGCTGGTCCGTGTTGTCCTGGCCGTCGTCAGGAATCAGAAAGTAGGACTCGACCATGTCGACATCCTCGGCAATGGTGGTGCCCTGGATGTCCGGGTCGTGGTAAATCTCAGTCACGGACGTGATTGAGCGCAAGTTCGTGTACTCAACCATGCTTCGGAGTTTCTTGGCTTGTTCTTGAGTTCCAAGTTGCGTGTCCAGGTATACAGCCATGCTGGGGGTCTTGATATCTTTTGCCAAATTGAGAATCTCCTTGAGGCGAGGTACACCAAGAGTGACGTTCTTGGAGGACACACCAGCAAAGTGGAAAGTGTTCAGTGTCATCTGAGTGGCAGGTTCGCCAATCGACTGCGCAGCAAGAACGCCTACCATCTCACCAGGACTGACGAAGGAACGGTCCCAGCGGTTCTGAAGCTCGCCAAGGACATGATCAAATGCGAGTTTGTTCAGGCGATGAACCTTGACAATCTCCTTGAAGGCAAGTCGAGAGCGGATCAAGGCCTTGAACAAGATGGTGGCGTTCAAGTCTGCTTCCGTCGAAATTGCATCTGATCCCCGCACGATCTTGAGCTCGCTTAGGAGGTTTTGCATCCTGGGAATGACATCGGCGGGACGCAAACTGCTACGATCGGTAGCGCGAACATTGAAGACTCTCTTGGCAGTCTCGATCATCCGGCCGATGTTGAGCGGAAGTTGCATCATCTCCTCTCCCATCTTGGCCCTATTGATGAGTCGCACAGTTTGTCGGTCAGAAAGCAGCGTTCCCCACTCAGAATCGAGCAGATCCATTGATTCCTTGTCGCCAGCCAACTCGTTACCATACTCATAATCCTTCTTGAACCAATCAGGCGGGTTGGCCAAGTCCAAGCGATACTTTTTCTCGAACGCAGCATCCGACATCTTGAGGATACCAAGTTTCTGCTTCTCGATGCACATAGCATCCAGACCGTCTTCTCCATAGAGAAACTGAACGATATCACCAAGGGAATTTCGTACAGTTCCGTCATACCGAGCGCTCAAATCCTCGAGGGCCTTGACGAGCCGTCGCTGAATGTAACCCGTCTCTGCAGTCTTGACAGCAGTATCAATGAGACCTTCTCTACCAGCCATTGCGTGGAAAAAAAATTCAGTGGGTGTGAGACCTCGCAGGTAGGAGTTCTCGACAAAGCCACGTGCTTCAGGAGAATAATCATCCTTTGTGAAATGGGGCAAGGTTCGGTACTTGAATCCGAAGGGAATGCGCTTGCCTTCCACAATTTGCTGGCCGACGAGGGCGGTCATTTGTGAAATGTTAATTGAGGACCCCTTGGAACCAGATTCCGACATGGTTACAGCGTTGTTCGAATCCTTCAAACTCTTCTGAGTGGTCGTACCAGCCTGGTCACGAGCTGAATTCAGGGCCATGGAGACCTTGTTCTCGAACGTGGCTCGGACATTCATACCTGGTAGGGCTTCGAGCTCGTTTGCCGTGGCTTGGGCTGTGAGTTTGGCGACTTCGGCCTTTTGGGTGTCAATATGAACCTGAATCTTTTCGATGGTCTGCTTGTCTGGAACGGTATCGCCAATACCAATACTGTGGCCAGTGTTGAGAAGCCAATAGGTGACGACTTGTTGGACACCATTCAGGAAAGCCATGGCACCTTCGGGCCCGAGCTCATTGTAGCAGAGGTGAATAATGCCACCAGCTGCCGCACCAACATTCTTCTTCTTCAAGAGACCGTACAGCAGTTCGCCGCTCTGGATGAGGAGTCCGGTATCCTTGAGGGGAATGTCAGAATCCCCCTCAGGGGCATGCAAACTAATCTCCTGTGGAATGACCATGCTGATGAGCTGTTTTCCGGTCCAGCGAGGCCGTGGTTTGAGGATCGCTGGTTGGGGAATAACGCCGTCCCAATTAGGCACCCAAAGCATCATGTTCATGACCATTTCCTTGTCGATGAAGGTGTCTCGTCTGCACAGTTTGTAAACACCGGCGAGAGAGTCCTGAACGATACCCATCAAGGGACCGTTCTTTTGAGGAGAGACAATATTGTTGGGAACAAGGCACAACTCCTTGACTTCAGCTCGTGTCTCTTCAGTCTGCGGGACGTGCAAGTTCATTTCATCACCATCAAAATCAGCATTGTAGGGCGAAGTGACAGACAAGTTCAGTCGAAATGTTGAGTAAGGCATGACGCGAACCTGGTGACCCATCATAGATTCCTTGTGCAGGGAGGGCTGTCGATTGAAAATAATGTAGTCACCGTCCATCAAATGCCGCTCAACCTTCCAGCCGTACTCCAGAGAAATCTGGGCGGCTCGTCGATGGTGTCGCAAATCGATTCTAGTACCATCGGCCCTGATGACGTATTTGGCGCCAGGATGCTCGTTCGGTCCGTTCTCAACAAGCTGGTGCAGCTTGCCAATGTTGTAAGGAGTGACAGTTTCGGGATAGGTAAGCGTTCTGGCAATGCTGCGAGGGACGCCGACTTCATGAAGAGACAGATTGGCGTCGCCAGTGATGACAGTACGAGCGGAGAAATCCACACGCTTGCCCATCAAGTTGCCTCTCAAACGGCCCTCTTTACCCTTTAACCTGGCTCTGATAGCCTTGACTGGACGACCACTCTTTTGCAGAGCACGCGGTTGTCCAGCAATGTCGTTATCCATGTATGTTGCGACATGATACTGCAGCAACTCCTCAAAATCTCGCGCAATGTGCTGGGGTGATCCTTCGCGGATGGCCTGCTTGACATTACCATTGGCGCGGATAATGTCGCCGAGCTTGTAAGTCAAATCGTCTTCATTTCGCATGCCGGTACCAGTACCGTCCATGGAGATACTGGGACGAACAGGAGGTGGGGGAACAGGAAGCACAGTGAGAATCATCCACTCTGGGCGAGCATAATCCGAGTTGAGACCCATGTGCCGAAGATCCTCCTCAGAGATTCTTCTCAAAATACCGTGAGCCATCTCTGGGGTAATAGGCACAGTCTCTCGCCTCTTGGGGCCATCCTCTTGTGCAACATCGAACGCAGCCTTGAGCTGCAAAGCTGCCTGTCTGACCTGCGGCTGCACGTTTCCACAACCGCCATGGTTGTGTGCAGCTGGCTTCATGCCAGGCGCAAACTCATCGTCGTTCTTCTCGTTACGATCTTCGTTTTCACATCTCCGCTTCTTCTTGCAGACTGCCCAAACACGGTTAAAGCGTAGTTTAGCATCCCGCGTGTTTATTGCGGTGACAAACTCGGGATCGCTCTGAGAGAGAAAGTTGTGCGTTAGCAACCAATGAAGTGCGCAAAAATCCTATGGAGAGTCAGGATAGACCAACAGTATCGGCCAACACCTTGCTGCAGTTGTGGCAGACAATCTCCAGAATCTTCTTGACCTTCTTGATGAAACCAGGATGGTACACCGGCTTGGCCAACTCGATATGTCCAAAGTGACCAGGACAGTCACTCATGGACTGTGTACAAGTTTTGCACTTGAATCCTCTGTCAATGGAGCCAAGAAGAGGATCGTTGAGCCCACCATCGCGTGGCTTGGTACGGCTCTCGTCCACCGTCTCCGGATAGAGAATGTGGCAAACACTCATGTTCTTGATTTCTTCGGGGGACATCAAGCCGAACTGAATCTCCTCGACCGTCTTGAGCGGCGCGCTAGAAAATGGGGGATGATAGTTCGCCATGGTTGCGGTTGATGGAAGGCTCGTCGGCGATGATTGTTTTGGGCGATCGGGCTGACCGAGGGTGGTTGTTGGTTAAACGCGACACGCAGCCGCAGCCGCAGACGGGGAAATCGCGAAGAAAACTGGCAGGTAAAGCAGGCCAGACAGGGTAACAAGTTCCGTAAGCCTCCCGATCGATGAAAAGTGCAGTCGTACGCGAATGGCGGATGGCGCTCAAATGCTGCGGTCGCCTCGCTCGCCCTGGCCAGCGGCCCAGGAGACCCTCAGATATTCTCCTTCGTCGCCACCGCTCCTAGAGTCGTCCAAGTGGTTCAAACGCGAACAGTCGTCTCCTAGAGCACCATGAAATGTGCTTCGCAGCGCTGCGCCCGATGTCCGACGCGCGTGTTGATGACTTTTGGTCGGCGGGCAAAGTTTTGTCGTGGTGAAGGCGTCCGAGGTGGAGGGCGGCATGGAAAGAATCTGGATAGGGGGGCTGGCACACGTCTATGACGCTAAGCCTATTTTGGTGCACATATGCCCTGCGCCCCAAAACTGATGCCTAAGGTAGACTTTTTCGGAGGTACAAGGTCTTTGGTCCTTGGCAGGAATTCCCCAGGCCGATGACTAATCTAGAACATGACGAATTCCGTCCCTCCAGAATCCAGATGTCAGCCTCTTTTTGTCGGCCGTGTTCGCGCCGGCACGACGGCTCGAATGAATATGCGGCAGCCCTCAGCCAACGTTAGAGCGCGCATGGCCAGTGACTCAAACACCTCCAGCAATCATCCACAGTCTGAGGTCTCAACCAGGAGCCAGCCACAGCCTATCAAATCCAGGGCGCTCGTCCGCCGTCACGCGTCTATCCCCGTCCTTTGTCTCGTCGTCCGCATTGATGGCTATATCAGACGATCACTTTCACTTATCAGCAACCAGTATTATGTGTCTGCAAAGATTTCCAAACAACGTCTTTGCAATTGTCTACAGACCGACAACAAAGGACAGCTATCGCACGTGCAAACAAAACAAGTCAGGGGGCGGCGCGTTTCATTAGCTTTGATTTCAGTCCATTGCCTCGGCCCATTGTCCTGCCAGCCTCGTGGCAGCGACTCGGGACAGATGATATTACTACTATGTGCGCCGAGTGAAGTGAGACTCTTACGCCGAGTTGTTCCTACGCTCCGTGGCGTGTGTAAGCCTGGCGCAGATGACGGAAGTACATTACATCTTCCCAGTCTCTCGATAGTGTCTGCCTGCCTAGGCAAGTGTCAAAAGTGTCCTTGCACGTCCATCAGGCGAGTATAGGCTGGTCATTCAGTGCAGAACTGCATTGAATTTGACTTCGAGCATGCCGTCGCACAGTCTTAAGCCCTGACTGGTGACGCAATGGTAGCATCAAGCTTGTGATGTTTTCGGTCGGCCTGCCTGGGGTATGTTATGGGAAAGCGATGATAATCATCTCGTCCAGGCAAAGACTACTTTTTCCTGCCCCGGCCGCCCTTGGCAGCACCGCCCTTTCTGGTGGCCGCCGTGTCGACAGGCCCATCCATGTCGCTTTGGCCCTCGCCAGGACTTCTACGTCGCATGGTCCCGGTTGATACAGCAATGAATTCGTCCTCACTATCACTTTCTCCAAGGTTAAACAAAATGGGTAGACGGAAGCTGTCGATATCGTCATCAAATTTGGTAGGGTCCAACGTCAGGACATCCACATCTTCGTCTTCGGCATCAAGTCGTCGTCGATGAATTTCTTCTTGTGCGTAAATGTCAAACTCATCCTCTCTCTCAATGTACTCGACATTTTCCTCCACTTCAGCAAAATCTGGCGCCAACGCTGACCACTTTTGAGGGCTGATGACGGACCAGATGTATATTCGGCCTGTTTCCAACCCACAGGCTGCGAGGAGTGCCCGTGAGGGATGCCATTCGATGACGCCTTGTTCTTCTTTCGGATCCTTAAGCATGCACACCAAACTCCCATGATTGCGTTCCCAGACATAGAGTTCGTGATTGTTGTAGGTCGATGCGGCTACATATTCGCCCGTCGCACTAAATGTGACGTGGTTCCACGAGAGCTTGTTGACGACGTCTTGAAACTTGTGTTCGAGGGGCAGTTGTATTGTGTCGAGATCCAAATCGTCTACAGAGAGATTGGGGATTCTGAAGGTGCGGATAATGCGGTCTTGCGAGTTGACAAGCAAGTCGCGACCGGCAGCAGTGATACGTAATGTAGTTATGATTCCAGAGCAAACTTTCTCAGCATAAATAATTTCCAAGGTCTTCGCATCGATCAAGTTGATTTTGCCCTTGCTTGTGCCAGCAATGATGTGGTCTCCTGTCGAGGTCCATATAGCCGACGTCGTCTTTTCCTTGGCATCCTCTTTCGCTTGTTTCTCTTTTTGTGCAGCACTGCCTTCGGAGTTGATCCTCTTAGGCACAGAAGGAATGATATGCTTGACATCGACAAGGTCGGTCATGTCCACTAGAACCGGTTGTTCTTCGAATAGGGACGCGACGAATTGCAAGCTGCTTCGGTTAGCTGCTAGCGCATCGAATTTCTAAGCAATCGACTCACTGATTCCATGGATGGAGCTCGGCCATATACGCTGGCGCGCGGAAGCGCACTTCGCGCAATCGCTTGCCATGCTGAAGATCCCATAGAACAGCCTTCCATCCTTGGCAGGTGGACAACAAGTATCTTCCGCATCGTGACCAGCTCAAAAAAGTTATACTCTTACTGTGGCCTCGCAATTTCCGTGCCACTCCCATCGTCTCTAAATCCCAGATAGCGATGGCGCCATCAACTCGGCCGGAGGCTAGGTAGTCACCCTTGCGATTGAATCGAAGCACCGTGGCATGCCCGGATCGTATGGTGTTGGTGATGCTCTCAGGATAGTCCTGAAGCAGGTAGTCGTCTGACAGCAGCAAATTCATGTTCGCGATCGCTGCTCGATGATGTTATATGTGCTCCGGGGGGCTGAAGACCAAGGCACATGGTCATCAACGAATGTGCAAGCAGCGGTCGTCGACCTGATCGGCGTAGGTACGTACCTACTCAAGTGCCCAGGTAGGTGTGGGTCCATGTGCTGATGTTTAGAGTACCTGCCCTGCCCAGCTCTTCTTCGCGATAACTTAAGTACCTGGGAGCAGTACTAATACTTGAGAACATGGCGTTTGGCAAGAGCGCCAAACTTTGATTCGTGTGAAGGAGCATAGTTGACCCCACCGCGGGGAGCTCAAGTTTCAACCTTCGCATCAATTGAGACGATGGCACCAGACTCTCAGGGTAAGAAAACGGTGCAACTTCTACAACTGCTAAATACCGATGGTGCTAGCCAGCATGGCAAACTCCAAGTAAGCGACATTCTCGCTGGAGGACTTCATCGTCACGTTACGACTGCTAATGCGCTGCAAGATTTGAATATGTTCGGAGCTTCGAGCAACCAGACCAGTTACTGCCAAACACATGGATCGTGGTTCGTATTGACGGACGAGCATTCACAAAGTACCAATCCCCGGAAGCTAGGATATTTGTAAAGCTTGCCTAACTTTCTGGATACTAGGGTGTGCGCAAAGTACGACTTTCAAAAACCCAACGACCGTAGAGCTTTAGATCTCATGAACGTAGCCGCCATGGCCGTTGTTAATGATCTTCCCGAGATTGTCGTAGCATATGGTGTCAGTGACGAGTATAGGTGCAAAACTTGTTCTCCCCAGCTGGATACGCACAAGCTAATCATCTCAGTTTCATCCTTCACAAATCCTGCGACTTGTTTGAGCGACGTGCAAGGTGCGCAATTCTTCAGAATCGTTTGCAAGTTCCAAAACTGAGGTCTATGTAGCAAGTTGGTCAGCACCATCGTCTCTTCTTTCACGGCGAATTACGTGTTTTCATGGTCCACTTGCTTCCCCGATACGCCACTATCCTTCCCTCTACCTACGTTCGATGGCCGGGCGGTATGTTACCCAAGTGTCCAGAATCTGCGTGACTACTTGAGTTGGCGGCAGGTAGACTGTACGATCCACCCATCACCATACCATTTTTGCATCGACTAACCCGTCAGGTCACATAAACAATTTGTATAACACTGCATTTTGGTCCCTGGTCCAGCTTGGTGGGCTTGACAACCAGAATGCTGAGAAAACACTCGCCGTATGTAATCCGCCTGTTTGCACACTTATATCATCTAATTGCATGCAAGGGCACCTTAGCAGCAGACAAAAACGAGATCCTTTTCTCCCGATTCCACATCAACTACAACAACGAACCGGAAATATATAAGAAAGGCAGCGTCGTTTTTAGAGATGTACGTGTCTGCCTCCTTCGACTATACCAACTGCAATTTGAATAATCTTGCTAACAAGCATCGACAGTATGAATTAGTCGACCCTGGGAGCCACTCAGTTGCTGCGGAGATGGACGATTTGGCAGAGCCTATAACACAATCAAAAACTCAGATTGAGAAGGATAAAAAGAGGAGAGCCAAGGCGCGGGTCGTGGTAAAGCACTTGGATATCATCAAGGATGACTTTTGGGATAGGAGACCATGGATATTATCGAACAAGCCAGGTAAAGCCCCAAAGGAAACATAGGGTACAACCTGACGGTTGGGTTGGGTAGAAGCGAAACCTTCTTTCTGTAAAGAACATGATTTCGCCATGCCATGCCCAGAAGCACGTCAACAAGCGAATGGAGAGGGCAACGACGGCTATCACCTCTCACAACTTGGGTTACAAAGCGATTTATTTTTCGGCAATACAAGACGGCCTCGGTACTCAAGAACTCAACACATAAGAAACTACAGGATGAAGCGCAAGATGAAAACAACTGATTGCAAGCCATAAATGACGGGGATCGTGGTCTCGAATTAGATCTTCTCCAACCTCACATGTGCTTAGCACCACCTTGTGATGAGACGGCCCAATCCGTATTCGTCATTGATCAAACCGACCCAACCCATATGGGACATCGTCTCTTTAGCTTTTCACTCACGAATGGAATCGTATTATGGCAGATCCCCTCCTCTTGCGGAATTGTGTCCAGAAGTCGCCGCGCACAAGACAAGTGAACGAGAGAAGCAAGTAGCAAAGGTCAAAACAGGACGCATTGCCGGTCGATTCATCTCGCCTGTTACTCTTTAAATCGACGAGCGTTTGCCTCTGCTATACATGGAAGAATTCGGCGCGAAAGAAAGGTGCTGCAAGACGCATCAAGTCAAGTGTGAAGGCGGAAGAGATGTTTGTGTAACGCAAATTCGCAAGTTGCTTCCATGAAGTCACATCACAAAAACTAGTGGCTTGAACAATTGCAGGCCGACTACTATCTGCAATGATTGAGTCCAGCAAAAGAGACAAATAGGCTTTCCAAGTCGAACAGGATTACTAGCAAGGTGGCCAGCCAATCTGATGACGAATTTTGATCCGTTCGAACATACCGAGTCATGCATGTTGTATGCCAACATTCTACCCTGGAAGCAGGATAAATCAGGCTGAAGTACAGGAACAGAGGCTAGGCTAGCGGGCAGCTTTACAAGCTGGCCCTGCATCAGTATAATCACTCTCTACAGCAACTCGGCATCCAACTATTCTACGATTGGAGATCCTGGAAGCGCTCCCTAATGTGGCCCAGTCAAATATCCGTTCTGGTTATCAATGTCGTGTGTACTCTTGAATCGTTTCGCATTTCAATACCCGTTAGCCAGATCTCCATGATTAGATTAGGATACGTGACAGGGCATTTCCACCGACCACCTTGGTCCCATCAGTAGCGGAGGCGCACTTCCCACAGCAACGAGCCTTGATGTATTCAAAAATACGTCGGGCACAGACACCCGGGCTCTGTTCGAGAGAAGCGGCCTGCCCTGGGGTGACCTCGGCAGCCGGAAGAAATGGCTCAGCGAATGCAATACTCCAAGCCAAAGACGCCATGCTATGCAATGTCCCAAAAACCTCTCCAATGGTAAGCCACGACTCCCATCAACAACAAGCGACCTGTACGGTTTGCTTCTCCCTCCTCCTGCTTTCTTTCCTGGCCCTCCGCTCCTCTTTTGTCGTCCGTCTCTCGGCCTTTTCCCTTGGCTTGCCGTCCTTGAGCCTCCTCCTCTTCTCCTCCTTTCTCGCTCTCCGTTCCCCCTTAGTTTCTGGGATCGCTCCCTGTTCCGCATGCCGCTGAATCTCCTTCTTCCGTCTCTTCTCCTCTCTCTCTCTCCTGCTGGCCACTTTTACATCCTTCAGCCTCCTCCTTTCTTCCTTTCGGGCCTTCTTTTCCGCCTTGCCATCGGGCTCGCTCGTTGCAGGGGTCTCACTGCTCTCGCCCTCGGCATCGCTCGAGGTCTCGCTCGCGGACAACGTCCCTTGGAGGAAGCCGCCGCGTACAAATGAGGCATAGAGGGAATATTTTCCCAAGGAGCCATTCTCAATGGCGTTTAGTTTACCAGTCTTGAGGGTCTGTGTGACCTTGCCTTCTTTAGATGTCTCTAGGCCCTTTAGTTGCTCGTCAAAGGCATTCATCCACCACTGGTCGCTGGTGAAGTGTGGTGTGGTTCCGAGGCCCTTGGTGTTGTCTTTGCGATTGAGGAGGAGCGGCCTCGCGAGGCCGATGGAGTCGTCGGTTTTGTGGAGAGAGTGACCCTTGCCTCGCCAGCCTTGGCTTGCGAGCAGGGCACTGGCGTCCATGGTGACGCTTGCGAAGCGCGGGACGAGCGCTGTAGGTGTTGGGTATTGTCGGATCGTGGATTGAGTGGTTGATGAGGGTTCGTATGGTTTTTTTTTTGGGCGGACAATGATGGCATTAAGTGGGGCGGTATGCGATAAGACGTATCCAGATCCGAATGAAAACCGCTGCTGAAATGCGGGCTACCCTGTACTTGGGAAGTCTGTGATTTGTTCTTTCATCTTCAGGCTCACAATGCCATGGTACCGAAATGAATTGGGGCCTAGCTCTCTTTTCTGTTCTCTTTTCCCCCTTCTTTTGTGTCAGCCTGGGGCTTCAGTCTTGTCTTTTCACTCCAAGGATTGCCCCTGGCCTACTAACTCATCCAGTCGGGGGTTGAGCCGGTTGAGTTGAAGGACGGCAACAACGTCGTAGACAAAACCAACGCCGAGCTCGACTTGTCTTGCAACTTCTTATCTCGGATAATCGAGCACCGTCACCATCATTCTCATGCCAGATGACGTCTGATTCTTACTACAGGGTCAGAGTGCTGCAGAGGAGAGCGCTGGCCCACCGAAGCGCCCGACGACGTCATTCCCGCAAGGTTGTCGACTCTACGCCGGACAACCAAACCTCGATAGCATTCCGCCCACGCAACACTGTCGGCTACCATTGCGCGGCTTACAATTCAATCGCTGCTGGACTTGCTTGAATCCAACAAGGGACAGACACGGACCGGCAGCGCTCGACTCGGCAGAGGGTTCGGACCTCTCGACGTCCAAGCTACTAGTCAACAGTCCACACCAGACAGTTCGGTTCCAACCTCACCAAACACAGTCCCTCTCGTCTCGAGACTCAAACCATCACCAGGCCAAGCCCGCGTAGTTGATCGGCCTTCCGGTGTCACTACACAAACAACTCTGCTCCGCCGTCATGGCGCCGCTCTGCGCAGACCCGCGGCAGATCGTCATCGCCCTCAACCCCGCGAGACGAGCCGCTCTCCTGCATCTTATTGAAGAAATCACCGCCTTCATGACTCTGCACCTCGCCAACCCTTCGGGTGAGCTGGGCTCTCTCACCGGCCCAGACGAGGAAGCCCAAGACGCTAGACCCAGCGCCCGTCCAAACCCTCCCGCTCGCGAAGCCAAAGCTGCCGCCCAGAAGCCCGCCGGCAGGGCAGCACAGCAAATCGAAGAGATTCAAGAGGCAGCAATGAAGGACATGAAAGACTGGAAGTCCAGCTTCCTTCCCAAACTAGAAGAAATCGTGCGCGTCCAAGACACCGCCAAGATCAAAGAGGAGCGCAAAATCCGCCAAGAAGCCCTCGACAAGAGGCAGCTCGACACGCCCGAGGAGGGCGAGAATCTCATGAGCTTCGGCAACGTGCAGGTCGACAAGCCGGATGACGTGGCGGCTCTCCAGAAACTATACCACCCCATCCTCACGAGGTTGACGACCGTGCCGGCACAGGATCGTCGGGAGGCGCTCAGCTGCGTGCTGCTGCTGGTCCTCTCCACGGGCAAGTACTCGGCGCACTCCCGCACCATGATACTCCATCTCGCGTCGGCCCTCGAGATCCCGCAGACGTTTGTGAACAGGGAGGAAGCCGAGGTTGCCCGCTCGCTCATGGAGTCGTCAGCCGCCGACAAGCACGACAAGGACGCCATGTCTGCCGAGGCCGAGGCCGAGAAGCGCAGGCAGCAGAACAAGTTCAGTCGATTCTGGAAAGTCGGCCTCGCAAGCGTAGCAGGCGCCGCCGTCATCGGCGTGACGGGGGGCCTGGCCGCGCCGCTGGTCGCCGGAACGATAGGCAGCATCATGGGCGGCGTGGGATTAGGAGGTGTCGCGAGCTTCTTGGGGATATTCTGGATGAACGGCGCCTTGGTGGGCGCGCTGTTCGGGGCATACGGCGCCAAGATGACAGTCCGTGTCCCTCGCCCCCCTTCCCTACGTGCCGCGTCTCTTTGCAATTGCAGAAAAGCTAATCAGCGTTGCAGGGCGAGCTCATGGACAGGTACGCCAAAGAGGTAGAAGACTTCAAATTCATCCCGCTCGCCGCTCCGGTCGAGGACGCAGACGGTGCCACAGAAACCCGCAGACTCCGGGTGACCATTGGCATCAACGGCTGGCTTAACGACGAGTCCGACATCGTCACGCCGTGGCGCGTGCTCCCGCCCCGGGAAACAGAAGTCTTCGCGCTGCGCTACGAGATGAAGACGCTCCTCAGCCTGGGGACCGCCCTCCAGGACCTCGCCCAGTCGTTTGCCTGGAAGACGCTCAAGATGGAAATCATCAAGCGCACCGTGCTGGCGACCCTCTGGGCGGCCCTCTGGCCCATCCAAGTCCTCGCCGCCGCGTCCAACGTCGACAACCCCTTCAGCCGGGCGAGCAACCGCTCCAAAAAGGCGGGCCGCCTGCTGGCCGACGCCCTCACCAACAGGGTGCAAGGCGAGCGGCCCGTCACCCTCATCGGCTACTCCCTCGGCGCCACCGCCATCCACGCGTGCCTCGAGTCCCTCGCGCAGCGCAAGGCCTTTGGCCTCGTCGACACCGTCGTCATCATGGGCGCCCCGGCCCCCTCCGACGCCGCCCACTGGCGGACCCTGCGCTGCGCCGTCTCAGGACCCATCTTCAACGTGTACTCGGAGAACGACATGATGCTGGGCTTCGTGTACCGCATGCACAGCCTCGCGCTCGGCGTGGCCGGCCTCCAAGCCATCGACGGCGTCCACGGAATCCAGAACCTGGACCTCAGCGAAAAGGTCAGCGGCCACCTGCGCTACCCCTCGCTGACGGGCGAGATCCTCAAGGCGTGCGGGTTCACGGGCGTCCGCGCCGGCGGCGAAATCCAAAAGGACGACCTGATCCGCATGAAGGACGACCACGCCGAGGGCAAGCTCATCGACCTCGACGCCGCGGGGGCGCCGCCGAGCCGGCACAAGCACAGCCCACTGGCCGACGATGACCTGAGGGGGTTGACAATCTCTCCGCCGGCCCTGTCGCCGCGTGATGCTGGGAGACGCCCTCGTCCAGCGCGCCCTGCGGAGACGGAACCAAAGCGCGAGAACGAGAACGAGCACCAGCACCAGCACCAGCACCAGCACGAGCTTGAGCTGGACTCGGATGAATCGCCTGTGACGACGCAACACGAGTCTCTACACGAGGGCTTCCATGACCCGCCCTCGGCTGAGAGCGGGAGCAAGTCTAGGCGGCAACAGACGCCAGACTCTAACGATGGCGATGACGGCGAATTTATGGCTATCAAGATGGAGGATAACGATGACGACCATGGCAAACCAGTACAGTGCTAGATAGAAAATTCACCTCAACGTCATCCATTGATGGCCTGTTTGAAAATACGCGCATCATCAAGTTACAACGTACATTTATTTCACAAGCAAGCACACACAAACACAGACCCGCGAAAAAAATAAAAAAAATAAACGGCTTCTATTTTGTCCCTGCGTCGGGACTCGTGTCTTGCTCTGATTTCTCTGATCCCTCGCTACAAGAAAGTGGCAGAACAAGACGGAAATCTGGGCAATTAACAATTTGTAGTAGAATTTTCATGGATCCGATTGACAACTAGGTCTTTCTGAAAGCCAATATAGCACATATCTAAGTGCTAGCTCGGGATCTGTCCAAACAAAAAAAAAAAGGTGAGAGAGAGAACAAATCACAAGGCAACCAGGAAAAAGAAATCAAGACGCTGTGGAAGGCAGTACGGATGCCTCATGACCAGAATCGCTTGTGCATTCAAACACACACAGCCTTATCGTCCTGTGGTATCATCGCCGATGGGAAAAAAAAAAAAAAGAAAAAAGAGCGAAATATCAGAAGAAGCCGGACCCCCGGGAGAACAACGGTCCAGCTGCTGGTTCCGTAAGCAGTCATTAAACGAGTTGGTTGGACTGCGTCAGACTGCGGGAGCAAGTCTCGCAAGACTTGTTGTGGCTACCTGCAAAGTGAGCTAGTTGGGGATATTATGAAGAGAATTTTACAAATTTTGTAGATTGCAGAGAACATGGTAATTTTTTTCCAGTCAGCGGGCCGCTAATCGTCTCTAAGATCTCCCGGCTAAGGGCAGCTGAGAGCCGTTACCAGTTTCCATGTTGCCGGTGAGCTCGGCAACGCGGGCTTTGATTCGGGCAACGCGAGACTCAATGGCTGTCAAGTTTATCAGCACAAAACTGCTTGGCATGCTTGTCTATACGTTAAACTCACTCTCTTCTGCACTGGTGTCATCATCGTCGCCCGAGGTCGTCTTGGGTCGAGGAATGTCATCTTTGGCGCGACCAGCAGCTCTCTGCGCCGCATTCTTGCGAATTTGAGCCCAACGGTCTTGAACCCCGGGGCCAGCGCTCTGACTCAGTGTCTCAACCGGCTCCTGAGGTTTGTTCTTGTTGCTGCTGCCTTCTTTGGACATGGGGTAGCGTGCTATCGGTGGAGTAGCATCGTCATCGTTGGGGACGAAGGCTGGCTGATCTGCGAGAGGGCCTTGGTCGAATCGAGCGAATTCGTGCTTGGCCTCAGCTGCGTCGTCTGCATCAATAGGCGACAGATCCGTGCCAGCTGAAGGGTCGTAGATTGGCTCTATATTCTCAACAGCAGGGCGAGCCTCTCTCGTAACTTCTGCGAAACGAGATGGCTCTGGCGTATCATGAGATTCTCGAACCGGAATATCAACTGGGGCTGCCTCCTCTGGTGCAGGAGACTCGGCTACGTCAGACATGCGAGTCGACCTTTCGGCAACGCCTTCTTCCTCCTGTGACGTGTTCTCCAGATGGGAGGAAGCGCTCTCAGGGACCTTGGATGCTCGGTTCTTGCGCTTCAACAATTTTCTTCTTAATCCCAATTTCTCCTTGTCTGCTTGGAATGCGCCCTTTTGAGTACCCATCCCAGGTGTGTGATTCTCAACGTCTGGAACTGAATGCGCCACAGGGGTGACTGGCATACCAGTATCCTTGGGCGCTGGGACTGGGGGGTCAACCTCCTCCACCGCCGGCTCCGTTGTTTGAGGATCAGCTTGCTTGACCTCTGGCTTAGGCGGGGGAGTAGGTACCATCGCGACGGGCGTGTTATCTTTAATCGGCAAATCTGTTTTTTTGTCACCAATATGGCCGTTGCTATTTGTGGCAACAACACCACGGGTCCCTTCAGTGGTTGGTGAAGACGTCGCAATTCCACGACCGGCACTATTGTTAGCCATGTACGCATCCTTGATGGTGCCCTTGTCGTACTTTCTCGTCCATCTCATGGCAGAAATAGCTTCAGGGGCAAGGCTGGGCTGCAGAAAAAGCACACTCGTCGTCTTCTCTGGCGTTGTTTCATCAGTTCTGCCGCGCCGTGATGCAGCCAACTGCTCATTCTCTTTGACGGCACGCATCTGGGCTGCCTTGGCTTGGACTTTGGCATGGGTCTCTGGGCCAATAGTGGTTTTGCTGCTCCCGAAGTTGTTCGAGGCTGTTTTATCACCATGACCATGAGCAGGCTTCCCGACCGACTTACGGCGACCCATACTTCTGCCGCGCTTGGTCCAGCTAAACAGGCCTTTCTTTTCAGCAATATAGGCTCCCTTGTCCGGCTCTGGAGCAGCGCCTGCAATCATTTCCTCCATAACGAGCCAGCTACCACCTGCGACCTTTGTCTCAATGACAGCACAGCGGCCAAAAGCGGATTTGCGTTGGGACGTTTCCTCCGGAGCTAAGCTGTTCATCCATACCCACCAGAATGCATTGTCAAGGTCCATTACAGCAATGCTTGCAAGCTCACCGGGCTGCAGGTTGGTGGTGTTCTCCAGTCTCGGACGGTGCGACTGTGAGCTTTGCTGTCTAATCTGGGTTTCAATAGGAGGCAGCACCTTGTCAGGGGGGAGGATGACGTTCGAAGGAGCCCCGTTCTCATCAACGAAGCCGGATGAGAGGAAGTCAGCCCAGGATGGTGTCGTGGGGCGGCCGAAATCGGTCCCAGACGCAGGTGTGCTCCGAAGCGCTTGCACTGGCTTGTGTTGAGCAGCGGCGTTGCTGTCTTCGACGTGAGGTTCTTCCTCAACAGAGCCCGCAAAACCAATGTCCTCGAATCGTGACCATGACGCATCACGCAGGCTGGTCGAGTGCTTCACACTAGAGACCTGAGATTCGTTTGCAGCAGAAATGGCGCGCAACACTCGAAGGCACTCCTCGGTCAATGCCTGTACCGGGTCGTCATAGTCGGAAAATTGTTGCAAGGCAGGATCAGAGTCGCGATACTGAAAATGGCCGGCTCGGCGAAGCAAGGCAAAAGGCGTCGGCGAGACAGTGTCGACCAACATGACCAGTTTATTAGTCCTGGATACAAGTGCGGCCGGAGTTCGCGGCGGGTACTCGGTTTCATTGAGCAGCTTCTCCAGCGATCTAGGAAGCAAAGTGATTCCGGTGAGGCCTTCTTCCGGAGTAAGAGATCGCAGATAGGCGAAAAAAAGGTGGGTGGTGGCATTGGCTGCCCTGAAGATGCCACACGTTAGCTTTCAGGCTCTCCTGTTGTCTGGACACAAATTCAACGGTTTGTTGTGCGACCAAGTCACTTACTTCTGCCATGCCCTGTAGCCACCATCAAAACCACTGCCCGTATCTCTCTGCTCGAACGCCCACCAAGCAGCCATTCGAGGCAATTGACGTCCACCGAAGCCATTGATCTTGCCGTGGGCAACAATGGCTGCCGTTAACTCAAAGAAGTCGAAAATGATGCGCTGTCGAGCTCCGCTTTCGACACTTAGGGGGATAAAAGTTTTAAAAGAATCTCTCGCCATACGCGAATCTATCGCACTTAGTTACTGACAGAATGCACAACTTCCCCCGAAAAATTGTACTTACCGCTTTCCCCAATTTTGAATAATTCGTAGGCATCCCAGCCGACAACACCGCCCGAAATGCGGCTCCAGCACCACTTCACTACGCCCGAGATGACCTAGTGCAGTTGTCAGATACATGAAGACGCGGCATGGGACGTGATTTCAAGGTCCACTGACCATTGGTTCGGTCATGCGTAACTCTTGTACCAAGATATCCCCTTTCAGAGCGAAGTTGTCGTCGAAGAAGCGTCTAATGAAAGTGCGGACGGCACTAGGATTGGATGTTGGTCGATACGGGAGGAGTAAGAAGGGAATGTCGAGGCCTATATTGAAAATCAATAGATTAGCCAGTTGCCGAGATTTTCCCCCAAGCTCGACTCAAATATACATACCACGCGCCTTGAGCTCGGCCGTGCAGATGTGCAACAAGTCATGAATTTCCTCCGGCTCAACAGATGGCCGTGTGTAGGCATCATCCCATTTTGGCTTCTGTGTAAGAGAGTCTGAGACTCCCTGAAGATTAAGTCGCTGCTTCTTCCGGTTCTCTCGGCCTTTGAGGCGTGAGAGAAATCGTGGCATGCTGGGCAAATGCAAGGGGATTCCCAAGCGACGACGAGAGAGGAGCTTCAAAGACGACGACAAGTATACGTGATGCGACGACGCCTTTTACCTCATCTACCGCAGTTGTGGTGCGGTGCGAGGGAGGATGCAGGAATTATGCAGTGCAGCAGACGATTATTGAGTTCAGGGGCTGCGAAGACGGTCCACTGGTCGCAGCGAGAAAAGGCTCGCCGACACGGCAGCGCAGTGACGTTGGCAGATAGTGCGCCTTTTCCTAGTTGGGCATTGGAAAATGAAGAAGAAAAAGAAACGCAAAATAAAAAGCAAGCCTCAGCCGGGGGAGTAGAGGCGAGACCAGATGGCCCAAAAGGTGGTTCAACTCGCACGGCGACGTGTAAGTGGTGATGCGGGGACTGGAGAAAGCAAAAAGAGTGTCGAGAGGGTTAAAGCCTCCAGGGGGGGGGAGTTTGGTGGGGGTGAGTTTGGAAAAACCAACAGGATTCAAAGGGGACAAGCTGTGACCAGAGAAGTCTGCAGGGGGGGGATTCAACAAGGAAGAAGCACAAATGAATGGAAGCAGCGCCCACCAACGCAGGGCAGCTGGGGTGGTCGGATGGTTAGAAAGAAGGCAGGAAGGAAGGAAGGAAGTAAGGAGGGGAGGAAGGAGAGGGCGAGGAGGAAAGGCAAGGAGAGGCGCAGAGACAGACACCTGGGACCAGAGAGACGAGAGACAAGAACCCGACGGACGAGACGAGATGAGAACTTTGGAGACTTGTTGGACGTCGAGGTGGTGTGGATTAACTCTTCAGAACGCAAATCTCTTTGGTTGGAGGGGGGCTGCGGAGCGAGTTGGACATTTGCTGGACTATGACATTCGGAACCAGGTTGGACCATGGCGGTTCAGGGGGGGCACGCGCGGGCGCGCGAGAGAGAGGGAGCCACTTGCATCGCCCCAGATTATTTCATCACCAGTTGACGGCAGCACGGTGGACGTAGCCAGGGGGGCCTCAATTGCGGCCTCGCATTGGGCCACGCATTGGGCCACACGGCCGCTTTCGCGGACAGCGGGGAACAAAAAGTAAAATTAGTGTTCGACGCAGGTGGCTCAGGTGGCGGGAGCTTGGGGGGCCTCGCTGGTGTCACGCGGGTGTTCCTGGCGTCAATGGCAGCGGGTACCTGCGTGGAAGTGAAGGTTTGAAGCGTGTACGGAGTACAGAGAGTCCTCATCAATTGTCTGCATCATGTATCGTGTGCGTGCACCTCAAAAACTTTGTCGAGGGCTCAGCCTACGCATCATTTATTGCAGGCACACGCTTGCCTGCATCGGCTCATCGTCTCATCTGCGTCCTGCGTCCTGCGTCCTGCCTCTCTCTGCCCTCTGCGGCCCGCCAGCTGCCAGGGTTTGCCTGGGAGGAACTCCAGATGCCGCCACACGCCCGCCCGCATCACAGCGCCCGGGTCGCCGTGTTCTGGATGTCGAGGTTGCAACGAGTTATCCTGCCTCCATGTCCTTTGACCACGTCCAACGAAAACTTCCCGACGCCGCATCCTGTACTGCTGGCGATGGTTTACCGAGCGCTCCACGATAAGAACATACATAGCTGTACCGTACGGAGCACTACACTACCCTTGTGCTCATCTACGGCTCCCACAGACAAAATCACATTTCCCGCGACTGCTCAACACTCGGACGGACGCCTTGACACCGTCATGAAGTAGGCCCACTTCGCCCTTATGGGACCGGAAGGCCTGTAGAAATGTAACATGTACCGCGTACGCCGGTGCCAGTGTACAATATATTGCCGGCTGGCTTGATGTAGTAGTAATGATGACGAGCGGTTAGGAATCCGGTTGTGGCTGTCAATAACACGAGCCGGCTTAGCCGCTCGTTGCGATGTTGCGGCCATGGCGAATCATTGCTGCCACACAGCGTAACTAGTAACCACTACTCGGAGGCGCCACAACTCGCCCAAGTCTCGTCACGTCGACGGACTGTCTCTCTACTGTTACCTGTGCCAGTTCACGGCCCCCGACGTGCTCTGCTCTGCAATACACGGTGGATGGGTTCCTCGCCGACTTTACCCACGGCGAAGCTACACATGGCTGCATATGCCCTCCAAGGCCGTCGACGACCACCCGTCATCAACATGATATAGCCCACCGCGCAACCAGGTCTCGTCAATGCCATTGTTGCCCAGCCCTGCCGGTCCTGCCAGTCCATAGCGTCGACGACTCGCACGCAGCCCACGGCTGTGTCGCACCAGTGCCGTCTGGCCCCAGGCTGGCTGGCAGTCTCTGGCCCGTTATTGACTCGCGTCTGGCCACCAACCACCGCCACCAGTCTAACCGTCTAGCCGCCGTGTCCTCCATGCTCTGCACATGCTCTGTCGTTGTTACCGTCTCCTTGGACAGGTGTGCCGCCCGGGCAGCAAATTTGCCAGTGATGCCCAGGCTAGCTACGGAGTACGTAGCTGTTAGCACGTAGTCCAATGTCTCAAAACCCAATCGGACTAGGCCAAGTTGTTGCCGAAACCATTCGCTCCAGAGTGCGGGGCGTCCGTTGGTGGAGCTGGGAGCTTGTCCAGTTTCGTGCTAGTTTCATGTCTTTGACCCCTGGCTTGCAGACTCATGCCGGCCCATCATCCGGAGATGCTGTACTCTGAACCGACGATAAGTACCAACACCAACCTAGAGTAGGTACTTAGGTAGTTGCGCCGTCTTCTTCTTTCTGATCTGTTGGCAGTATTGTATATAAACTCTGTTGACTGTCCTCTATTGTACGTTATGCCCTCGATTGCCTCGCAAGGTGTGCCACCATGCATGTCCGCATACCGCACACCGCACACCGCACACCTCGTCCGCAAACCGGGCTACTCAGTACATCCAGACAAATTCACGCTTGATTGAGCCCCCGCGCGCATCAAGATTCCAGACCATCGCCATCGCCGTCCGCTACAACACAACACAATACAAGGCCATCCTTGGGCCCGGGGCTGCAAACCTACGTCGCATTAGGCACTGACTTACCCGGCTGCTGAGCAAGTACTCTGGACGGAAGCCCGATGCCAGCAAGGTTTAGCGCGGGAGCGCATTTCGGCATCCACGATGCCCACCCTGACTTGACATCGAGCCGCATGACACGTCGCCTCCTGTCATGAGACTACTAGCGTGCACGCAAGAGGATGAAGACGGCCGGCTCACTCACTCCTTCGAGTCCTTTCTGGGCGGGTGAGGCATGGCCGTGCATCAGGCAGGCCACGGTTTCGGGCCGCGGCTGTGCATGATTCACGATTCGTGGCTGATCCGTGATGGCAACACATTGTCTAGGGCATTTTTGGCAGCGTGTCCTTGTTTAAACCATGAAGAGGGCTGGAGTTGACGTTCAGAGAGCCGCGATCCCGTCCCCCGCCCGCCGTGATGATGAGGTGTCGTGGTTGGGTATTTGCAGCGCACATACGGTTCCCCGTCTGTTGCGCCGCTCATTTGCATCTATGCTGATAAGACCATGACGAGACGCGTGCATGGAACGATTCTTTGATTTCTATCCGCTCATTCAAAAAGTGTCCAAGCCGATGCTGTTTACATGATGATATTCGGGCAAGTGTTGTATGCCCATCCGATAGGGTCTCGTCTCGCCTTGTCTCGTCTACTCTTCCTTCTCGACCTCTGCCTCAGCCAGACGAAGAGCTTCCTCTAGTGCGGCCTCGTCGTCCGAATCCACATCCTCCTCGGCCTCGGTGGTTCTGGTCATCTCAACCGCAACAGATCCATTCGCCTCCTTCTTTACTTCCGATTTGGCCTGCGTCTTGACCGATTCCGTGCCGTCGACAGACGCGCCACCAGAGGCGGCTGCCGCAGGGGCAGCCTTGGTCGTGGCACCCGGCGACAAGGCCCAGTCAATCTCACCATCCTCGCCGTACCGCTTGATGAGCCACTCGTTGGCCGCCCTGAAGTGACTGCAGTCGAAGAATCCCCTGGAGGCGCTCAGCGGACTCGGGTGGACGCTCTGCAGAATCAAATGCCTCTGCTTGTCGACCTTCTGTACCCTCTTGCCTGCCGGAGTGCCCCATGCCATGAAGACGACTCCCCGCGTACGTTTCTGAGCCACAAGATCAATGATTTTTTGCGTGAAGCGCTCCCACCCACGGTTTGAATGTGAATTCGCCTCATGAGCCCGCACCGTCAGGCAGGTGTTCAGCATCAGCACACCGCGGTCAGCCCATGGAGTGAGAAGACCGCCTCGATCGGGGGGCGGAACAAACGAAGGGTAGTCCTTCTTCAGTGCAATGTACATGTTCTTGAGGGACGGCGGCGCAGGCGTGGGAGGTCGCACCGAGAACGCCAGGCCGTGCGCTTGTCTATCGTTGTGGTATGGATCCTGACCGACGATGACGACCTTGACGTCGTGGAAGGGGGTGTGTCTCGACCTTTGGTACAAGGGGGGTTTGTTGCGTTTAGCTCGCGGCCGCAACGGATGGAGAAGCCAAGCGTATTACGTACCATGAATATACATCCTCCTTTGGCGGAAACCATTTCCTGCCAGCGTTCGTCTCCCGGTCCAGAAACTTCTTGAGCTCCAAAAACTCCTTGCTCGTGATGTCATCCTTTAGAAGCGCCAGCCAGCTCTCGTGCAGCGTCTCAATCTCCAGCTTCAGGAGCTGCTTCTGCTCGGCTGTCAGGCCAGCCAGCCACTTTTGCTTGTCGAACTTTGCGGCTGGAGAGGCGGAAGCAGAGCCATTCCCGGCGGCGGACTTTGGTGCACTGAAGAAGGAGGCGATGGAGCCATTGGCCTTGGGCTTCTTGGTGTCGGCTCCGTTTGTTAGGGTCTCGCCTTTGCGTTTGAGCGTCGACATGGTCTGAAGGTGTGCACGGAGCCGACGACCTGGGAGGGCTCTGGCTTTGGAGGTGAGGTGCAAGCGGAGGGGGAGTGTGAAAGCCGTTTTTGACTGAATGCTGGTGTACATGCAATAAATGAAGTGCGGTTCTTGGTGATATCTGTAGCTTTGGAGGAATTGGACGTGTGGGCGTTAGAGGAGGCCGTTTGCCATGCCAGGACGGAGACTTTTTTGCTGCGCGTGGGAGACGCGGATTTCCAGGGCGGCAAGGCTGGTTTACGCGACTGAGACCGCAGCGGCCGCCAAAGGGGCGTTGAGGTACGTACATAGATAAAGGGTCACCGGTGGGGATTTGGGTGGGGGCCCGAGGGGTGGCTGCTTGTGTGGCCAATGGCTGCGCACGCAGTCATGATGTTCTTGGCCCTGCCTGTTTGATATTTCTAAACGTCGAGCATCAGAGCCAGACGCAGACCAAACTCGGCGAGCCTCCTAGGGCGAGGGTACACAGAAATCAACCAAATTTTAATACAACTGTGAGTCTCTAGCAACCCTAGTCCAGTGACTATATTCTAGCTCGTTCATCACCTCCGCTGGTGAATAGCCAGTCTAGTAAGTCGACCCCTTCCTAATGTTCCGTATCCAGCCAACCGGTGCCTCTATCGGCACGGCCGAATTCCGGGAATCGTGAAGGATGATCCTGAGCCACTCGTCGGGTAAAGAAAGGTACGAATTTGCAGTCTGACGAGGTCCGGCCGATAATGGACCGTAGGGACCGCGTGGAGACAGTTGGGAAAGCGGCAACGGTGATAAAGCACATGACGGTCGGCCAGATTCGGACCGAGAGCAATGTTGAAGAAATACATGGTGCGACATCTCACCTCACTCTCTTGTAGCCGAGGACGAGGCTCTGTAAGTATGCAGAGTTTCCTCGCATCATCCTCGCGACGTGCCCGCTTGTGTGCAATCAGTCCCCGCAAAGCGACCGACCCAGTAAGCAAAGTCGCTGGGCTCGCAGCTCATCTCGTCCCTCGTCCAGAGTCATTTGTCTTGGCTCACATCTCATTTTCTCGGGTGTATCCCGAATTTGGCAGTGTTGCTTGGCCGGCTCTTCGTGGGACGATGCAGCCCGGATAGCAAGCTTGATGACAGGAGAATCGCAATGATGCATGTGTATTAGAGCAGCCAAACAGTGGCCCGGAGAAGGCGGAACGTAACATTTTCCATCCAGCTATCCAGAAGAAGGCGACAGATGACGAGGATGAGTGCGTAGTTGGCCGTCGTGGTTGGATGTGATGCGTTTGGAGGGTTGGATTTGCGGAAATTGGAGGAAGCTGTGTTTTATGCTCGGAGATACAAGTCTAGCAAGTAACCAAAGCTTGTCGGTGCAAAACGCAAGCGCCAGACCACCAGATCCCGCCTGAGGCCAGGACAATAGTTCGCCATGGCCAAGAGTTGGCGGATCACCGGGTGTGTTCCTGGATCATCCCGAGCCCTGAGGATGGATGTCTTGTCGTTGGTGGATGGGAAGCGGGAGAGACGCCAAAGGTTTGCAGGGCCGGTGCCGGTGCTTTCAGACTCGTCAAGAGCCTTGGGAATGCGTTCTTATTAGTCAGCCCTTCAGCTGCCCTAAAACCACCACCCCCCACCCCGGGCCCCGCCAGCCCGTTCTCCGAAGTGGACAGCTTGTAACTTGGTAGCTGCCTGCTACGTGACAACGAATAGCTCCGGGCCGAACAGCGCACCTTTGCCAACGTCGGCCATCGTCGCATCGCCACCACTTTCCCACATCCCCGTCTCGGACTCGCTATGCTTATGCTTTGCACCCCATCATTAAAATCTGGCACATAGCAATTGCCGAACATGAGGAGCTCAGCCATATGGCTTCTCCGTAAGTTGCCCTGCCGCTGTCCTCGTCCTCCGGTTTGCCATCGTGTTGCTCACATGTCTCCTTGGCAGTGCTTCCGCAGGCCGTTCACGTTCTGGGAACAAACGCGCAATATTACAAAAACAATCATGGGGACAATCCGCTCAGGAAAGAACCGGGGAACCATGGGCTTGGTCCCAAGACCGCCATTGAGACAGAGCATGCCGCCCACACAGCGGCTCGGCAGGCAGGTTGGTCCAAGAGCCCCAACTGACTTCGGCTTGATGGGGTGTCGAAGTAGTTAACCTGACGTAGGAGCCGAACTCGTCGATGCCGCACTGTCCCAGCTGAACAAGGCATCGCGATCATCGCAACACCGAAGACAACAGTCACCCGGCATCTTTGGAACCGTCGTCCGATACCTCCTGAACGCTATCCCGACCAGACCCGCGACAGCCCCCTCGCAGGAGCAACAGCACCTAAAGTCCACTGCAGCCGGTCCCATCGCCAAGGCTGTCGGTTTGCTGGAAAAGGCCGCGCAACAGAATAATTCCGACGCCCTATATCTGCTGGCAGAATTGAATTTCTTTGGAAACCACAGCCATACCAGAGACCTCCACGCCGCCTATAATTATTACAACCACCTGGCTAGCTCTCATGGTAACATGACCGCGCAGTACATGCTAGGGCTGTTTCACTCGACGGGACTCGGCGACGTGGTCCCGCGAGACCAGGCCAGGGCCTTGCTTTACTACACATTTGCAGCTCTTCGCGGCGACGTTCGAGCCGCCATGGCTACCGCTTTCAGACATCACATGGGCATAGGAGCGTCCAAGAACTGCGAAGTGGCGGTGAAGTATTACAAGAGCGTGGCCGACAAAGCCATTCAATGGCACCGGACCGGTCCTCCCGGCGGCGTGACCTGGATATATCAAGGGTGGCGAATTGCAGACGACGACGGCGGTGTCTACGGCGAGGGCGCTAGTGCAGCGAGTTCAGGGCTCAACGCTCGTAAGGTGAGCGTACACTCTGATGCCAACGCTGCTATTAGCGACGTTATCGAGTACCTCGACCTCATGGCGCAAAAAGGCGATATCAAGGCGTCTCTGAACCTGGGAAGGATATTCTACGACGGACAGAGGGGCCTCGCACACGATTATGGTCTCGCAAAGAAATATTTCTTTTCGGTTGTCTCTAGATACTGGAAAAGGGACGGCACGCTCGTGGATAATTTCAAGCCGGGCACGGACAAAATCGCCGCCAAAGCAGCTGGCTTCGTTGGTCGCATGTATCTACGAGGAGAAGGTCTGCCACAAAACTTCGACCGAGCCAAGGTATGGTTTGAGCGGGGAGCCAAGCTAAACGACCCCCAGTCGCAGTATGGAATGGGCCTGATGTTACTGCGCGGCCTAGGCGTGGAGGAGAACGTCAAGCGGGCTTCGGAACTTTTCCAACTTGCGGCAGCGGCAGATTACGCCCCAGCCCAGGTTGAGACGGGACGACTGTATCTCGATCAGGGTGAAGCCGAGGACCTGCGAGTGGCGAGCAACTTTTTCGAACTTGCGACCCGATACGGAAATATCGAAGCCCATTACTATCTGGCGGAGATGATATATCATGGCGTGGGGCGCGAGAGGACGTGCCCCATGGCTTTGGGCTATTACAAAAATGTCGCGGAAAAGGCGGAGCCCCTGGTCTCATCGTGGGCGGACGCGAATGACGCCTACGATGCTGGAGACTATGAGGTGGCCTTTCTTGAGTATTTAATGGCGGCTGAACAAGGCTACGAAAGAGCACAGAACAACGTGGCATACATGCTGGACATGGCCGAGGCCAAAAAAAGGTCGTCGTGGCTGGGCAGGTCAAAGACCAAAGGAACTCTCCTCAACAACCCAAGTCTAGGCCCCATCTACTGGACTCGGTCGTCTAGACAGGCCAATGTCGACTCGTTGGTCAAGATGGGCGACTATTATTTCTACGGCATTGGCACCAAGGCTGATGTCAGCAAGGCCTTGCAGTGCTATACCGGAGCGTCGGAGCACTCGCAGAGCGCCCAGGCCTTGTTCAACCTCGGATGGATGCACGAGAACGGCATTGGCCTTGAGCAAGATTTCCACTTGGCAAAAAGATTCTATGACCAGGCGCTGGAGGTGAATGAGGAGGCTTACCTCCCTGTCACTCTGAGTCTTCTTAAGCTTCGGGCTCGCAGTGCCTGGAACACGATTACGCATGGCGACGTCCACTCCATCCAGGACGAGCCCAGTAAGTACTTTCCCACGTCCCTAGTTGTCCGTCGGGGCTTAACATGTTTCTACAGGTAAAAGAAAGGACTGGTCGCTGGCAGAGTGGATTGCCAACTTTATGAAAGATGACCGGTATTACGACGACGAAGCACTGTACGACGACTATGTGGATGATGATACTCTGGATGTCGGAGGTGATGACTACCTGGACGCAGGCGGGATTGTAGAAAGTATCCTCATCATCGGTATCACATTTTCCTTGGTATTGCTTCTGTGGTATCGGCAGAGGATGCAGCAAGCTTACGCACAAGCTGAGGAGGCGAGGCGGCAGGGTCAAGCCCAGGGGCAGGGGCAGGGGCAAGGCCAGGGCCAGGGTCAAGGCCAACAGCCGCAGCAGCAACAGCCGATTCCAGGAGCCGCTGAGAATCCTGCGAACCCATTTGATGGGTTCGGCGGTTGGGCCGCCGGAGGGATGGGTTTATAAAATACTGCGGACATGGTGTACATATATAGACTATGAGGTGGGCGGGCGTTTGGACAGCATTTCAGCCATGAAATTCCTTGAGAGTCTTTGTTGGATGGCCACGAGCCGTCG